AGTTCGTTAATCTATGCATTACATCTTATTGTAAGAGTAAGGGTGTGGTGAGGGGTAGAGGTGAGGGGTAGGGGTGAGAGGGGGGAGGGGAGAGAGTTGGGAAGGTTCATTGGAAGGGGACAAGGAAGCGCCGATAACCATCTACATCAATAGTGCCGACTTTTTCCGGTCGCCTAGAAGACCAGGATACTCGCAGCAACATTTCCCCAGCTCGATTTCAAAGCGTGCTGGCAGTCAAATTTCAGATGCTTCGCTGAAGGGAGATAACTTAAACTTTTACAAGTTTATTGATACAGTTGTTAAAGTAAAAATTAACGCAATTATAAATGTATGAGATCGAAATAAATAATTGTATTTTTTTTCTAGAATTCAGGCCAGTAGTTTAAACACACAATCATAGATATGTATTTTAATAATGTAAACAATATAACAATGCTTTTTTGTTCTCCTAATCGACGCCACAAAAAAAGAACGGTAGGCTACGTCTTTGAAATTGTCTATATGTCTGGCGGTCTCTCGAGCTATAGTCTGTGCATTTTTCTCAAAGACGTTTGCCGACTATCGTGTTTGTTTGTAACTGTAGAAGAAAGATAACTCGACCTCCACCTAATTTTTTTTAAATTTTTTTTTAAATAATTTAGCCAGGATTTTTGGGCCCCCAATCGGTCTGCACCCCCCCCCCCCCCGCATTGCGGGGTCTGGCGGCACTGTAGTTCCGCCCCTGCATACTCAACAGACCATGTCGCTAGGGTTATGAATAGGAGATTGATAGATATGGTGAAATGTTAAAATTTAAAGAACAGGACAGCAGTTACAGAACTAGGTTAATAACTTTTTAGAGGAGAGGGTATTGTTGACTAGCAGTGAATAACTGATTAGGTAAGTGAAGGATATTGTACTAAAATTGGCATTCATATGTTTGTTTAATCTATATATTTCTTGTAAGAAAATATATTGATGTGTTACTATCATTGCGGAACTAGACAAAAAAGGATCCCCCGCAAAAAGTTTTTGTAGCCTGCTTCAATTAATTTTAAATTATCTATTTCCTGAGTAATTTAAAAAAAAAAATGTCAATGTGATGTATAACTATACTGAGATAACAAACCAGGCACCATTATGTCCAAACTAATTTTGGGCCTAATGTAATCGTGTTTTATAATTTTAAAACAAATACAGTAACATAACATGCCGTTTGGGGGGATATTTACATAGTAGTTAGAATGATGCATATGGTATAATAAATAAATAGATAAATAAGTAAAAAATTATATAAAATGCATTAGTTTTAAAGCATGTTGGTTTAAAAAAAAGTAGTCAAAGGCTGGTTTAGAATATATTACCAATAAACGAGGTTGAAAATTATAATATATAATAGAAGAGTGGAAAAAAAGTAGATTTAAGTGGATTTCATCCCATTTTGTACAATAAACATCTACATATATAATTCTCTTCATGGGGACCATTCGGGACAAGACGTAGACGCACGCCTAACCTCCCCATGCATACTCAACAGACCTTGTCGCTACCACCCCCACCCTATCAGTCTGGTGAGTTGTTTACAATCGTAGAGCCCGGTCGAATTATATACGGATATTAGGGAGATAATTTAGGTTTTATACGATGTAAAAATAAGGGGAGGTAGTAACAAGCTCTGCTTGATCTTTTCGTTGTCTTTAAACTATCGTCACGGATGGCTGTACAATACTAGCTGTAACAGGAAAAAAAACACAAACAAATCAAAGCTGATGTTCTGGTGGATGGGGGCATGGTAAGGTCGTTGGGGGGGGGGGGGGGTTACCGAACAGGTTGGTGTGTTAGTGATTCAGCGGGAGGAGATAAAATGTGGTGTTTCAGGGTCGATGTGCATAGTCGTAGCTACGATTATTTGACTGCTTAGTACCGACATGTTTTGGGTGGGTAGGCGTGAAGCTATAATGATGTGTCGGTAAAAAATTGGATAGCAGTGTTCTCATAAAAGAATTCGAATAGTGTCGTACATGTTAATAAAGGTAAACAGTTTTAAGGATGACTTTCAGGAAATTCAACTATATGTGAAAAGAGGTGGGGGTCTAGGGGGGGGGAGATAGACGAATGGGGTCATGGGGTTATGTAAGCTGTGGACCAATGGACAGTAGATTTAAAATACTATCAAATTAGTGTTAAAACATCATTACAATGTTTGTTTGAATGTTATATAAATAAAACCGATTAAAAAAGGAGCAATAGAAACCACATCCATACAGAATAAATAGTACGAAAAGAGATGGGGGCACGAGGGTTGTAGGGGTGGGGTCATGGGGTAAAAAACATCAGAAAGGGGAGGGATTGGTGAGACACTAAAGGCGGTGATGCGTATCTAAGGTGTTGTGATCAAGAAACTCGGAAGCTAAGAGTTAAATTTATATTACCTAACCGTAAACCTTATACATTCAAGGTTGTAAACGACTTTAATATTAAGCCGCCCTAGAGGTTGTATACTGATTGAGAAAAAAATACGATGCTCTTTTAGACACGCACTGCATTGCTACCATAATGTAGGCTACAACTTGACCTAGATGCATTGCTGAGGTGGAGATAGCCAAATAAAATTCAAGAATTGTACGCTGAAGATATATGACAAATATGAGCTGAAGAATGTATTGAATCTGGCTAAAACTGTTAATGGGCTGTTGAAAAAGGGGATAAATAGATGGATGGATAATATAAGCTGCAACTGTGGAGATACGTTGTGAATGCAAAGTCTTGAATTCAGAGGCGTAGCGACCCTACCCGGCGCCCGGGGACAAACTTTTCGATTTGCCCCCCCCCCCCTCAAACTTTCGACTTGCACCCCCCCCCCCCTAGAGATTTTGATTTGCACCCCCCCCCTAAAACTTTCAATTTGCACCCCCCTCAAACTTTCAATTTATTGTTCAAACCCATTTTGGCGCCCCCTAAGCTCGGCGCCCGGGGACATATGTCCCCCCCCCCCCGCCCCACCCCCCGCCCCTCGCTACGCTACTGCTTGAATTTTCTGCTATTAATATAGCATTCAATTGTTTACAGTTACTAATAAATTCATGTTGATGATTTTATTTAATCTTCATATGGATTGGACAGTGCAACTGATGTACACTTGTCACTGAAATGCACATTTAAATCATCAGTCATGGCATTGAATATTTAAAATACATTTTAAATGGACCTAGATTAAGTAACGTGCTATTTTAATGGCGAATGCTTCCTAATGTATTTCGTTGAGTTTTTAAATTTTACAAAACAATAGCTAACTAACGAAACAAATACTATACACCTTCGCTTTTTATGACGAAAAGTGCATTTACTGCACATGCAGTATGTTAATAGATGAATAAATTAACAAAGCGTGTTTTTATTTTTATCGGGAAAAAAGCTAAGTGTTTTGATCCGTTGAATTCAGAAGTGTTTATTAGATAAACGATATACAGATTAGTTAGATATTTTTAGGAAGGGAAACACAGCTTATATAATAAAGATCGTGGTTATGTAACGAACCTTGAAGAATGGTGTAATGCAGTCAGCAGGATATTTTCCGCCGGTCATTTCTTCCACTACCAGTTTTATCAACAGTTTTATTCCACACCCTCCCGCCTGCCGTCATCTTTATTACATTAACCCCATTACACAACATCCTAATATATAATAGCACCTGTGCGCACTTCTCTGTCTCTGTCTGTCCGCAAAATAATTTCAGAATCTGCTGCGATATATCGAGAACTTGATACATAATTTCGTTGAAAATAATATGGTAGATGTTTTAAATGTATAAGCCCAATTTTATTTAAAGAAGAAAAATAAAAAAAAGGCATATTCATATGTAGGAAAACAATTTTAATTATGCAACCGGAAAAGTGTTTATAGTTGGGACAAGAACGCATTTAACAATGACGTCGCTTATTGTTTACACTAAAAGAGCACGAAACTAATGACGTCATCTGCCGAGTTTAGAATAAATTAAAGAAATGAACTATTTTATTCAAATATGATTTAGAGCTAGATTCTACGTACGCTTTGAAATGTATACAATACGATTTTTTTCGGCCTAAACTTTTATAAGTTTTTACTTTATCTATTTGGATCTTAGATATAGATCTAGATCTCGATTCTAGATCTAGACTAGATCTACGGAAAAACTAGACGTAGACGCTAAGATCTGGATTTAGACTATCTACTAAAAACAACATAACTACCATTGAACAGCCGGTTTTTTAAAGAAATCTCTTAATTCGGCCTAAACTTTTATAAGTTTTTACTTTAAATGTGTCGGATTTTTAGCTAATTAGTTATTTCTTTGCTTTGTCATTAATATCGTTCAGCTTGTAGTAATGCGCATTGCGTTTTGACCAATAACTATTTTACAAATTATTTTTCTTAAACAAGTTCAACATTTTAAAATATATAGGCCCATAATTCACGAGAAACGGCTACCGATGGATAGAACGTATAGAGATACAAATACGATACGTTGTAATCGGGGCTATTGAGCTTATCAAAAGAAGGAAAAGTACATAAGTAATATATATTGTAAGGGAGATGGGTTTATTACCTGCGAGCGTGTTACAACGACAGGCAATGTAGGGAGATTAATAAAAAGGAGGGAGTTCTAGAAAAGCCATACGTAAATTGAATATAAATAGTATTTCTTGTAAGGAAATATATATTTTTAAGTTTCAATGTAATCAGGCAATAGATAATGTCATATTTCCTTTCTCAACAGACGACTTTTGTTTTAATGATGGGATAGATACAGGAACTATGAAAATAAGTTTACTCAATATTTTCTTTTTACATAGAAAGTTTTCAAGCAATGTGTGTATTATTGTAATAATGTGTTTTGGAAAATTTGTATATTTTTTATAGAATTTCCTTACGTTTTTTATCAATATGTATAATTATCATATAATATTAGCAGATCAATCTATAAAATATTTCTAACACAATGCAATATCTCAATATTTCTAATTTTTTGTCTAACACAGGGTTATAATGAACTTAGATTTGACATGAAGTATGAAGGTAAAGACTACTACGCTGTGTACAGAGGTTTTAAGCTAGAAAATGAAGCAGCAAAGTATAGGATGAACTTCACGTCATTCAGTGGTGGGAATGTTGAAAACATATTTAATGGGCACAAAGGCATGATGTTTACAACCATTGACTCTGATAACGATAGGCGGTCAAGTGGCAACTGTGCTGTAGGCAGGGGAGGTGGTTGGTGGTATGGTGGTTGGTGGTATGGTGCTTGTTACGACGTTAACCTCAACGGTGAATGGGCGAGTCGTGTTTATGATAAAGGAATTCATTGGACCAGCATTACAGGCTGGTCTGACTCTCTAGACTTTGTTGAGATGAAACTTCGTCAAATGTAAATAACCTGAAAACAATGCTGTATTAAAATAATGGATATACAGTAATCAAATTATTTATATAATCTTCAGAAACATAAACAACATGTCATATCTTCAAATAAATAGATGTAAACATTTACTTGATGGTGAGGATAAATAAGAAGTTTAAGTTAAAGAACATTAAACCAAACATTTTATTTGAAAAATTATTTTTAAAACTCCACAACATTGTGGTGTAATAAAACCATGTATACCGTAATCTAGAGTTTTAAAACCTCATAGATTAACTGTGTGTGTGTTAGTCATTAAAAGAGGAAAAAACGACTGGGATGGTGTCATATATTTCTTGCATATTTATAACAATACTAGTAGTTTAGTTGTCATCTACCACCATATCTTTAATTAGCCATTCACTCGGTTCGTGTGTAGTTCAACCCTGTTTTGCAATGTTTTTTGAAAGGTATATATGCCGTCCAAAATCACATAAAGTAGATAGTAACTGATAATTTGGGATCAGTAAAGCTTTGTATTATAAAAGTTTACATCATGCGGTCATGTAGTAGAATAAAGTAATTATTTAAGTAAATCCTATGTTTAAGTAGTTAATATTTTATCTAATGTATTTTATATCGAGCATGTTTGTTTATTAAGAAATCATCTCTAGTATCACATATAAGTACAAAAGAAAAGTTTAATTTGAATATTTTTGTATTACTGAGATTAAAATATCCTTTTCTTAACGTTTTCAAGGTATATAACCATACTCTCACTAATCAAGTGGGTAATTTTAATTGTTACCTCCCGTGAACAAGTTAGTGTCGATTGTGTACCATACCATAGCCTAGAGAACTTATCAGTTACCTAATTTTATATTTGTAGCTGTTTAGTATGTTTACATGGACACAATTAATGGAACGCATTTATATACCCTTTTATTATATCGTCCACTAAATTTTTATGTCAAGCCTTCCTTTGTGTGGTTTTAGGAATCTTTTGGTTTATATTTTTACTAATATATCCGTTTATACAACTTATGATATATGTGTTCTTTTAGTTGTTATGTTTTTTTTTCATTTGTTTTTTTAAACACATAATAAAATCTTCTGAATTATCCAACATATATTAACTGTCGTTATTTTTTTACATAAGGACCAAGGCTAACTGTACTGCGTAAATAAGTCCACACAGCTACGATGCTACTTTATTTACGTTATGGAACGTGCACATTGACTACGTTTTTCTTACTTAGGTCGAGAATACAGAAACATGTTGACTCTACTTCAGCTTAAATATAATTGTATTGATTTTAGTTTGTGATCCTAGGATGAATCAAAAACTAGACATAATTTGTTGAAGCAATACCGGCTATTCAAAAAGTTTTGATTTATTTGATAAGAAAAAGTGTGGGTAACTTAGAAAAAATAGTTTAGTTGTTAATTGAGCCTATTGTATTGCACTGTCGGTCCAAAGTAGCACGATAGAAGATATGGCAGAATATGGCAAATGGGACAGTATCAAGCAATACACTACAGCAAACAATATACTAGAGCATACGGTAACTTTTAGTGCCGGTAAATTATAAAATATATTAAAATATCTCAACGTCAAGTTCTACATTAAATTAGTGCGTTACCTTATTTATAAGCTACGAGCCGACCCGCGGCATATCATACGCCGCTATTTAGTTGTTTTTTTTTCTACTTTTCAGTAATTCATAATTTGTGAATTCGACAGTACCAATGCTGCCACTGAAAATATGTGCTTTAAAACACTAACCCCCCCCCCCCCCCACCCCCCGTGAAAGCAGCCTCCTCTTAGTTACCTCCTCTAATTTTAAAATCGTTTCAAACTAAATTTTCTGCCCCTAATAGCCGTCACCAAACCCGGCTCTATGATTGTAGAATGTAAACATTTAGAGTGAACAACAACTCACCAGATCATGTAGGGGTGGTGGTGGGGGTGGGGGGGAGCGATAGAGAGGAAGAGAGGGGACTGCAAAGGCGCGCTTGCAACTTGTTTTCTAACGGCTCCCAGAAGAGAATTATATATATAGATTACAGTTTAAATTGAGTCGAACATTTTGGTTGTGTGCCTTATATTCTCGTTACTTTATCTTGCTATTATCTACCTGATATTATTTGGTATTTGTTTGGCCTTTTGAGAAACAAGGATTTGATTACAGTAAAACAAGTGATCTCATTTACATTGATATTGATTACACTTAGCAACTTAAAAAAAAACGTGTGAAATTTGCAAGAAACGTAACATACACAGTTACACTGTCTTCACAATAAAGAGAAATAAGATCGGTTAGGACACGACAGCCCATATAGTTTTTTTTCTGCTCCAAAGTACATTTATATTATATGAACCGAAGAAAAGATAAAAAAAAACGACACGGTTGATAGTAAAATAAAGATTCCTGGCGTGATATAAAATAAAGATAAGAACGCTTTAAAAATCTTAACTAAAATGGTACATTGTAAACCATGAGGCCTCAATAAACAAAAACGTTTGATCGTCACAGATGTATTCATGATACAAGAAGACTACAGCACACAAAATACGATTAACTACAATTAAAAATGTCTAGCTAAAGCAGTAGGTGCAAACCGACAAAACACAGCATACAAATGGACAATTTTGAACTGGAAAACACATCATCAAAACAAAGTGGACATAATATTATATACGACACAACTATAACCTCAGGCGACAAAGGGATATTTAATGCCCATAATGATATAAATAACAAATATTCCATTCCGTATTCAGAAGTACAGAAAGCCATAGGGTTAGAGTTAGGGCTAGGGTTAGTGATTTCCCCTGAATTTCTAACAATAATTAAAAAAAAATTCATAAAAAAACGTTTTAATAACAAGCTTTTATGTAATGATGCACTAAAAAGTAGAAAATAAATTATAGACTACTATTTAAATAACTATAAAGAAAAGCGTGGGTCACTTTAGTATCTATTGGATACCTTTACTAATGTTAAGGAAGACACCCACGCTTTTCTTTATAGTTATTTAAATAGTAGTCTATAATTTATTTTCTACTTTTTAGTGCATCATTACATAAAAGCTTGTTATTAAAACGTTTTTTTTTATGAATTTTTTTTTCAGTACTTTACATGTTTTATCTACAATAGAGTTACATGACTAAAAACCATTGCGCGCCTACTGAATATCACGTTCAGTAGGCGCGCAATGGTTTTTGAACGCAGCCATTACGTGGTCGTGATGGCGCAGCTATTGATGACGCGTGTGGTGTGGTTGGCTAGACATGCCTACTAATTCGGTCCAAATTTTAATTAATTCATAAAAAATTAATTAGGCATCCAATTAAGTCAAATTTAGTTTCAGATTGCATTGTCTTCATGTCTTGACCCACGTGACAACTGTGAATCGTATCGGTCAAGTAAAACTGTCCGAATTTTCACTCCTGCGTTTCTATCTAGACTGACGACAGACAGAATGACGAGGAAGTGAGTTAAATAAAAGCTTGTAAAAAAAAAAACATGATGGCTGCTAAAGTAAATGAACCTGGGTTCATCTGATGAAATCATCGCTAGTCTTTATTTTTTACCTAAAAATTTTGTAATGCAAATGACGTTTAAAAACAGGAACAATAATGGAATAATTTGAATAATTTTTGTAACTTTCAAAACATAAATCCTACTAAAATGTAAAATATTTCCTAAAATTGTATGAGTCACACTTTTTATACATTACAAGTCTCGGCCGATTTTACGTAGGCTACCTAAAACGATATATTACCGCATAAATTCAATACTAGTGTAATTATCTATACTAATATATAGTATTCGACCGTATTATTACTCCAATCTATATTTAGCTATTGGATTTTATGTATATCATCACAATATTTTAAGTCACTACTTACCGACTTATACGGACCTCTGTAGCATCTTTTAACCCCAATCTGACCGGTTGTAAAATATAATTCGCAAACGTACTACCACATTCATTTAGGCACATATATTGTTACAGATATGTCATCGTGTATTTGCCAAATGACATTGACTTAAATTATCTAAAAAATATAAAATAGTTACTAAAAATAATACATAGATTTATAAGTTTCCCATTCCAAGATCGTTATTAATATATAACAATATGGTTGATCAAGAACGTTTTTAAAAGCCTTCACACAAAGCCACACAGTCCTTCTCTCTACACGGTGGCTTGTAATAACAATAACTCAATAACTTTCCGTGGCACAATAAAGAATTTTGTTATAATATAATGTTAAGCGCCTTAACACCACATATAACGTGTAGCTCCGCCCATTGTCCACAGTCCAAGATCAAGTCTCGTCCAGCGCTATGATGCCGCTGGACGCTAGGTCCAAGCGTGTAACATTACCTGGGGCAGGGGGGGGGGGGGAATAGCAAGTAGGGGAAGATGGATAATCTTATTAAATATTTTGTTTATCAAAGCAATACAGTATTACTGCAGTATAATGTTTTGTCTAGTGTAGTTCATTCCTACAATTTTTGTATATTTTAATCAAATCCCCATTATCAAATTATAAAAAATAGTGATCATTATAAAATAAAAAATATGTTTATATACATATATTATATATATATATATACTAAAATAAGCATGTTCTGTTGAAATCTTTGCCAAGGTATACAATCATAATATTCTAAAAACAAGTGGATAATCTTAATTGTAGCCTCCCTTTCCATTCTATAATCTTCAATGAATCTATATATATAATTCTCTTCTTCGAGCCGTTAGAAAACAAGCTGCAAACGCTCTCCCTACCTCCCCACCCCTACATGGTTTTAGTGAGCTGTGTTCACTCTAAATGTTTACAAGCAGAGCCAACGATTTTAAACGTAGGGGGGGGGGGGGGAGGAGGGGGGGAGGGAAGGAAGGGGGGGGGGGTTATGGTCCTTAACGAGCTACTTATAGTGTTTTAAAGAAATATTTTCAGTGTCAGCGTTGGTACTGTCGAATTCACAAATTATGAATTATTGAAAATTAGAA